TTCCTTCCTTCCTTCCTTCCTTCCTTCCTTCCTTCCTTCCTTCCTTCCTTCCTTTCTTCCTTTCTTTCTTCCTTTTGTGCTAAGAATCCAGTGCCTCACACATGCTAGACAAGTGCTCTACCACTGAGCCACAACCTCAGCCCTAATTACAATTTTTTTAAAATATTTAGTATCTTTTCTAAGGTATCACCTGCAAAAAGTAATAACTTTACCTCTTCCTTTCCAATTCAGGTGCTTTTTGTTTCTTTATCTTGCCTAATTGCTGACTCTGGTTTTTATTAAGATGTTGACTATAAATGGTAGGGCATTCTTGCTTTATTCTTCAAGGAAAAACTTTTGTTTATTTATTTTTTTACCATTGAGCATATTAGCTGTAGGTTTTTCTACATATGACTTTTATTATGTTGAGGTTATATCCTTCTATTCTTAGTTGTTGGAACTTCTAGCATGAAATAGTGTTGAATTTTCTCAAATGCCTTCTGTGCATCAATTGAAATAATCAAGTGATATTTTAAACTCTTTGTTCTATTTATTTAGTCTATTACATTAATTGATTTTCATATATTGACCCACCCTTACATCCCAAGAATAAATCCCACTTAGTCATGATGTGTTATTCCTTTAATCAAATTGTTGAATTCAGTTCTCTTATATTTTGTTGTATATTTTTTTCTGTGTTCATCAGCAGTATTATTTTGTGGTTTTGCTTTGTAAATCATCTATAATTTTGGTTGTAGGGGTGTTGCTGGTCTCTGCATGAGTTTGGAAATGTTCTATGTTTTTAAAAGAGTTTGAGAAGAATTGGCTTCAATTATTTAAATATTTCTTTGGTGGAATATTTTAATCATCATTTCAGGATTCTTACTATTCTAGTTACAGATCTATTGAGATTGCCTCTTTCTTCATCACTTGTTATTTTTTTTTAAATATTTATTTTTTAGTTGTACACAATACCTTTATTTTTGTTTGTTTTTATGTGGTGCTGAGGATCGAACCCAGGGCCTCACGTGTGCTAGGTGAGTGCTCTACCGCTGAGCCACAACCCCAGCCCCTCATTACTTGTTATTAATAGGTTATACCTTTGTGGAAATTTATGCATTTCTTCTATGTTATCAAATTTGTTGGCATTTAATTGATCTTACAGTCTCTTAGTATCCTTTTAATTTGTGTGTTATCAGTTGTAATGCCTTTTCTTTCATATCTGGTCTTATTTATTTCAGTTTTCCCTTTTATCTTGTGTAACTAAAACTGTGTGAATTTTCTTAATTTTTTTTCAAAAATTCAACTCAATTTTATTAATTTTTCTGTTCTTTCCTTCATTGGTTTATCTTCTAACCTTTATAATTTCATTTCTTTGATGAGGTGGGTGGGCTTTGTTTCTTTGCCTAGTTCTTTGAGTTATAAAGTTTGGTTTTTGTTTTTTGTTTTCCTTCATTTTCAGAATGGGCATGAATTATTATATTCTATTCCATAAATTGTGGCATGGAGTGTTCTCATGTTCATTTGTCTCGTGGTATTTTCTAATTCCTTTTTCTTTCTTTTTTAAAAAAATTTGTAGTTATAGATAGACAGCATGCCTTTACTTTATTTGTTTATCTTTATGTGGTGCTGAGGATTGAACCCAGTGCCTCACACATGCTAGGCAAGTGCTCTGTCACTGAGCTACAGTCCCAGCCCTAATTCCTTTTTCAATGTATGCTTTGATGCACTGGATTATTCCAGAGACTGTTTATAGCCAGGAGTGGCACCACATGTTTTTAATTCTAATTCCTGAGGAGACTGAGGCAGGAGGATCAGAAGATCAAGGTCTGCTTGGGAAATTTAGCAAAATTTCCCAAAATAAAAATAAAATTGGGGGAAAAACAAAAGAAACAGTGGGGACGTAGCTTAGTGGTAAAGTGCATGCCTGCACGCCTTACATATATGGTGCCCTGGATTCAAACCCCAGTACCAAAACAAATAAACAAACAAATAGAAAAAGGCATAGTGTTTAATTTTTACACATTTGTGAATTTTCCAGTTTTCCTTCACCTGTTGAATTCCAGTTTATTCCATAGTGATCAGAAAAGAACTTTTAAATGAGTTTAGTCTTAAATTTGTTATGACTTGTTTTGTGACCTTGTATGTGATCCATCCTAGAGAAAGTTTCATATGTGTTTGAGAAGAATATGTATTCTGCTATTGAGTAGAATTCGCTGTGTATACAATTTGGTCTACATTGTTGTTCAAATATACTGTTTCTTTTTTGATTTTCTGTAGTGATGGTTCTATCCAGTTTTGGAAGTTGGGCATTGAAGTATCCTACTATATTGAATTGTTTCAGTTGTGTCAATGTTTGCTTTATATATTTAGGTTCTCTGATGTTAGTACATTTACTTTTATAATTATCGTGTCTTACTGGTGCATTGATACTTTTATTATTCTTTGATGCTATTAAAGTTTTGTCTCTTGTAATACTTTTTGACTCAAAATTTATTTTGGTTGATATATGTTTAGCCACCCATGCTG